AAATTCTCATTGGTTAGCTTCCATTTACTTTTTATTTTACAATCCCAAATCGAAAAAAAAATAAAAAAAAATAAATAAAATAAAAAGTGAATTGTTTCATTTACATAAAATGAATCTTATGCTCCAATTATATAAATTATTGAAATTTCTTAATTTTAAACAATTAAGAAAATCCTCATTGGTTAGTTTCCATTTAAGTTTTATTTTACAATCCTACATAGAAAAAAAAGAAGGAAAAAATGAATTGTTTCACGTATATAAAGTGAATTTTATGCTCCCATTTATATAAGCAAAAGAAGATTTTTAGTGAGAAATCTTATAATCAATACCAATTTTTTTTTTTTTTTTGTGTGTTTAAGAATACATATGCAATATTCCTAACATATCACCCGTACTATGTGAAGGTGCAATGTGAAAGTGTTTTTGTAAACACAGTTTCAATTTGCAATCCAATATGCATATTCATTTAATTTTTATTTTACAATCCCACATCAGGAAAAGAAGGAAAAAGTTAATTGCTTCACTTATATAAAGTGGATCTTATACTCCCATTTATATAAGTAAAAGAAGATTTGTAGTGAGAAGCCCCATAATCAATACCATTTTTTTTATTTATTAATTTTAAACAATTAAAAAAATCTTCATTGGTTAGTTTCCATTTAACTTTTATTGTACAATCCGATCTAAATGTTTTGATTTTAAAAATAATTTTGTATGAGATTTTAAAACTCTCATAAAATTTAACTTTAAAATAATTACAATCTTATATCGAGAAAAGAAATAAAATGTAAGTTGTTTCACTTATATAAAGTAAATCTTATACTCTCATTTAATATTATAGTATTGTGTATGTTTCAGTTGAAGATGGTTTAAATTTTAAAATAAAATTTAAAGGTTTTAATTAATTAATTTTGTTGTAAATTGGTTGGTCTTTTGACTTAGCCGATTAGGCTGAATCATTTTTAATTTGACTAATTCACCGATTTAACCACAGTTTTAGTTGTTTTATCAAAATATATTGCTTAGATTTGTTTGATTTGAAATAAACTAAGATTGACCTTATTTGAACGACTGAGATTGCTTGATTAGAAATGAATTTCTTATCCAAACAACTGTTAACTTCTATTTTACAATCCCATATCAGGAAAAAGAGGAAAATAAATAAAATTAAAATCCCACATCTATGCATGTTTCAATTCAAGACAGTTTAAATTTTAAAATCAAAATAAAATTGAAAAGTTTTAATTAATTAATTTTTGTATAAGTTGGTTGGTCCTTTGACTTGGCTCATAGGGTGAACAGTTTTCGGTTTGACTGATTCACTTGTTTAACTGTAATTTTAGCGGTTTTATCAAAATATATTGGTTAAATTTATATGATTCGAAATAAATTAAAGATTGACCTAATTAAAAATTAAACGGCTAAAATTGCTTAATAAATTTTCCGCCCAAACAATTGTTAACTTTTAAACAATTAAGAAATTTTTCATTGGTTAACTTTCATTTAACTTTTATTTTATAATCTCACATTAAAAAAAGAAGAAAAAAGTGAATTGTTTTACTTACATAAAGTGAATCTTATACTTCCATTTATATAAGTAAAATGAGATTTTTAGTGAGAAGTCTTATAATCAATATCTCATACTAATTTTTTTTTATTTTATTAATTTTAAACAATTAAGAAAATTCTGATTGGCTAGTTTCCATTTAACTTTTATTTTACATAATATAAAAAAATTAAATATAATTATCATATTTTTATTAAATAATATATTATTTTATCTCGTGCATAACACGGGTGATATACTAGTATATTATATAAGCAAAAGGGAGTTTTTAATAACAAGACTTGTGGGAGCTCTAAACCCTCAAACTAAATTTTATGATTTTTTTAATTTTTAAATAATAAAAAATATTCCATTGATTAAACTCTCATTTAATCATAACAATAAAACTCTAATTAATCTATTGGAAACACTTTTTCAACAATAAAAATATAACTATCTAATGATTTATGAAATTTAAAAGAAAAGTATATTAACCCATTTCAAAATTTAAAAGTATGCCATCTAACCATTAAAAAAAAATTCTAATTTTCTCATAATTTATGACTTTTAAAAGGAAAGAACTCTTTGCCAAGAGCTTTTTTGGCTATTTTAATCACAAAAGATAAAATAGGTTATTTTAGTCACAACAAACAAAATATCACATCCAACTCATAATCATTACACTTTTTTTTCACAAAAAAAGTTAAAAAAGCCAAAAAAGTCAAAAAAATCCCTCCCAAACCAAACTTTTTAGCCTAGGCTAAAATAGCCAAAAAAATCAAAAAGTTAAAAAACCAACCCACTTCTCAAACGGAGGCTTTTAAATTTTAAAATTTTGTATCAAAAATTATGAGAAACAATTCATATTTACCATAAATTTTCTCTCTTGCACTCACTGAATTCAAGCCAAATTAGAGTTGATGTTCATCTAAGTGTTTTAAGTGTTGGTGATTGGAGCAATTGTGAAGAATTTAATTGATAAAGTTTTTCACCGTAAGTTTATGCTTTTTTATAAAGATTAATTTATAATCTTTAATCACCCACATCCTTATTTCTATTCTGCATTTAACAATTATGTTAATTTCTAAAAATTTATTGCATGCTTATTTAATCTTAGTGTATTTTAATAAAATAAATCCTCAATCTCTTTGGTCGTGGTTTAATGGTTTAAAATCTATATTTATCAAGTGCATAAATATAAATGACAAAGGCTATTGAAAAAATATTCATATTTATTCGCAATATAGCCAGTAACAAATTTTCATCGTAAGTTTATTCTTCTTCTAAAGGATGCATATGATTATAACATTACTTATGCATTTATGTTTTGTAATTTCCATGATTACATGTTTCAAAATTTCTATAAGATTTGCTTTTAATTTTCAAATTTTATAGTTGGTGCACTTTTTCTTGAATAATGTTATACTTATTATTTATTATATTATATTTTACTGTGCGACTAAGTTCATTTGGTTGTAATTTTAAATTATAATTTATTTGATATTTTTATAGCTTATTTGGCTAAAAAATAAAGGCTTTTTAAGCTACAATTTGTAACTTCTTTTTATTTTTTGTAACTTATTTGAAATCCTTGAATACATATGAACATAAGAGTCTCATATCTTTTATTTTAGTAATAACTTTTGAGGTATTATGAATATTTATACAATAAAAATGTTATATAAATTATCAAAAGGTGCACTACACCAAAAAAATTTACTACGTATTTTAAGTTAATAATTTAAAATTTTACTTACAATTTATAACTATTATATGGCTCATGCCAAACATTAAACAAAGTTTAAGAAATACAAGGTGCATTTAGGTTAGCGCATAAGTTACATAAGTTTAATAATGACTATGAACATGGTTTACTAACATGTTAATAGTTTTCTCAAATAAATATTTACCAAAATTTTGAATGAGAAAATTTTGCTTAAAACATAGGTTGATGATTAGATTTAGAGAATATTTGATAAAACTTAATTATTGATTTTGTGATGTTAAAAGTTTTAATAAAGTATAAACAAATTTAAATTACATAAATTTATTCATAAATATTAAGTGTGAAAAATGCTAGGAGTATTTGAAAATATTAAATTTATTCGTAAATATTAAATTTTCAAATGCTAAAAGAACTATTTGATTAAGGATATAATTTTTTAATAAAAATAGTTTATTGATAAGGTTATTTCATACATATTTATAATGTATCATGTCTATTTTTATTTTTATTTTTAAGTTTGTGATTAACTCTTAAAAATTTATAAAATTCTTATTTGAAAGGTGAATTGTACATAAATCTATAAACAAATGAGAAAAAAATTATAAATTCACATATAGTACATATATTATCTTTTATTTGAATCATACTAACTATAGACCAAGTAGTCATTTTGACTCAAGTTACTCATTGTATAAATATCGAGGTTTAGGTATTAGCCATTAAAATGGTCACAATAAAAAACTTAAGCCTATAGGCTAGAATTAAGCTGTTTTATATACATATTCAATTTAATTTATTTGTTTTGTATATTAGTTCTAAATTTTTTAAATATAAAAAAATTAAAATATATTAAAAAAATCAAAAATTAAAAATGATCTATAGTGGTGATCAAATTGAGAAAATGGCTTTAGGGTTTGCAAAATATTCAATTGGTCTAACCTCTAAGAAATTAGTAAATATAATTAACCAGTATTTAATGAGACTATTTTAGTGATTATACCTACCAGCCTAGCAGGATTGAAGTCATCGAACTCTTTTTAAAGGTGATACCTAGCAGCTTAACAGGATCGAAGTCATCGAAGTCTTATTTGAGGAGTGGGTTGAAGATTGAGATCACTGATACTCTATTTTTTTTTTCTATTTTTTTTATTTATTCTCCAATTTTAAGATTGAATTCTACAAAATATATAAGGTAACTGATTTTACATAATAGATATAAGATAATTGGTAAATTGAAAAACTATAATTACAAAATTCATCAAGACGAAATATATTTATATTTTATCATAAATATAATTATTATATGGAAATTAATTAATGTTAAATAAATTTTCTTTTATATTATAAACAAAATTTTTGTTATAATTTAATTTCAAAAATAATTTTTAATTATTTATTTTAACCCGGGTATAGCACAGGTATTATGCTGGTTTCTTAGATTTCAAGGAATCACTGTGATAAACCTTCATGTACCATTCTTGATATTGGAAAAAAAAAAAGAATGAAAAACATTTTCTGCAGAAGATATTTTCCCGGAAAAGTTTTGCCTATCCGTCAAAACACACAGAAACTGCACCTTACCGCAACTAGATACCCAAGTATTATTTTTTCTTGTTAAAGATACATAGACAGAGATAGCTTAGCACAAACTTACACAAGGTTAGAACACACAAAACCCATAATTGCAAAACAAACAATTATTTTGAAAACTTATTTCCTCTTAACAATTTACTCACTGCTTACCACAGGCACCTTCTCATACACTGCTTCTGCCTCCCTAAATCTCCGGGGAAGGAAAAATCGGCCCCCAAATCGCTGCTGCAAGTAAATGATGATTGCGAATGCTACACCCCCACAAGAAATACCGACATCCCAAGCCGTGGAATAATAATCTGCGCTCGGGTTTGCATAGATATATGACTCTTCAAATTGTTTGCGAGCATAGTTGTGAGCCCTGTAAAGATCGTACGCGTGTGGTAACAAGCGAACAAATGTTGTTCCAATGTAGAACGAGCGCGAAAGGGGTTTTTCGCCTGAAATTCGGAACATGTTGAGGAGGATTTGAGGGAAGAGGAACCCATCGAGGATCAAACCACCATAAGATTTTAGATCCCCCCATAGAGAATTTTGTTGATGTACAACAATAGTAGCAGCAACATCATAGGAAGAATACATTGAATTGTCGGACTTATTGTTCCTCAAATTGAGAAACAATGCAACCAAAACCCCGATTACGTATAATGGTATCGACACAAATAGAGCCTTTTTTTCTGCAACCCACGAGGCCTTTTGGTTGTTTTCGCCTCCCAATCGCGCAGACCATGTCAATTGGAGTAGTCGGAATTGCAACAAGAAAGCCACCATTGTGACAATTCTCACCATCACCTCATTAACTTCAAACCATCCACCACTCCTGAGCAATTGCCTACGCCTATCGCGTTTTTCCAAGAAGAGGGTCTCAAAGTTCAACACAAGTGGAATCATGTGCCCGAAAACAAGGATCACAAGCATGACAAGAGACGCAAGGGGAAGCAATCCCGGGTTTTTCCTCACGTAAAAGATTTGTAACACCACGAAGACACAAGCGAGCGTGTTGGAGATCAAAACCATGGCGATTTCCAAATCCATTCGCCATATTGAATTCCTCGCATCCTCGGTGTAGTATGTCGATGCAGACACTTCCAATTGTGCGAAGTAAAGAGGGTCGGTTTCCTTCCTCGTGCTCTGAATGGTTCCCTTGATTTGACCCCCATTTTTTGAATTCATCGGTTGGTATTGGAATTTCACAACCACCTCACAGTCAATTGATTCAGTTTTTGATCTCTGACCATCTTTACTCAGCTTTGTACACCCTACCATACAGAGATTTCCTGTTTCCTCATCATAGACACCTTCTGCAGAAATTTGAAGTATGTTGAGTGGATTGGAGGCAAGATTAGTAAGGGATGAAATGCCATAAATACTTATGGCATAGCTTATATTCAATGGGCCAGTATGGCTTCTCTTTGCCTCCATTTCAGACTCATCGCGCACTGAGCTGAACACGACCATGGAATTGTCTTCATAACTTTCATCCCCCACCAACACGGGATATGCAGTACCCCAAGCATTTTTCCCCTTGGAATCTTTGATTCTCATGTTGTGAAGCCTCATGTCATAAGACTTCGCCTCGGGATATCTCTCCCCCTTTCTTTTAACAGGATTGTTGTTGTTCATTTCTTTCCATTTGGGTATAATTATATCTCAAACCAGAAACCCCAACCATGTTATTTTCATAGCTTCCAAACATGATTTTGTTGAAATAACCCTCTTCATTGACAGTCTTGGTAGTCCAAATCTGCCCAACAATAGCTTCCCTGTTCTTGATTGACCACAAAGCAGGGTACCTCAAGCTCATCCTGATCGAGCAATCGCCAACGTGATTGTCTTTCAAGACTCTACAAGCAACTATGCATAACTGGCCCTTTTCCTCATCCCACGACGCCTCTGCAACTAGCGTTGAATTGGGTTCGAAAGGCTGATTGTAACCCATATAACTACCGTTCCCGAATTGTATCAAGAACCGAACCTTTCGCTCATCCTCAGAGCACTGAATCGAGTCCATGGACATCACGCGAGGCAAATACTCAATACCGTCAACAAGAACAGTGCAATTCTTCTTCTTCGTAGAAGAATTGCACTCGTTCTTGTACTTTAAAACGGCATCAATTCGCCTCTGTGATGAACAGAACTTTCTTGGCGGCAAAGAAAGAGATTGATCAATTGGAAAATCAATCCCACTATCACACCCATTACCAGACTCTCCTGAGTACTTGTAATTACTGGTTTCAGAGAAGCCCAAGATCCAAACAGGTTTGAAGTAATTCAAATCAGTTGAAGAGCTCAAACTCTCCAAACTTCCAGAAATCAAGCTATCAACTATGGTGGGATTCATGACATAGTTGAGCTTCAAAACTGCATGGAAATTGAGATTTTTTGCTGAACCCACCATGCAAATCTTCCCAGATTTCTCTGACAAAAACCCATTTAGCAAAAACTTCACTGAACTCCGAGAATCGTTGAAATATCGGCCATGGCGAGAGTAGTAATAATCGTTTGTGGATTGCAAGTGAAGGTAGGCTTCGATTTTGTAAACTCCATTTGTATTGGTTTTGAAGATGTGTTTGGTGGGTTCGAATGAGATATATTTGTGGTGATTGAAAGAGAATTGAGAGAAGTTGGTGGTGGAGGTGGTGGTGGTGGTGGTGGTGGTGGTGAGAAGTCCATCGCCGCCGTGGTAGTAGCTGAAGGGTGATTGGAGATGGGGGTAGATTGTGTAGTCAGGGATAGTTGGGTTTGATTCAGGGACAGTTGAAGAGCAGTGATCAGAGTAAGAGAGTGATGGTGGGGTTGAAGAAGAGATTGGAGTTGCAGAGAAGATGGTGAAGAGAGAGAGAAGCAAGAAAGATTGAAGAGACATAGCTGCAAATTTCTTCATTTCAAAAAGAAGATGAAGATAATGAAAGAAATGAGTTCACTTGATGTTGTGGAGAATGTAGGACTTTATAATGGTGTTTGATCATTTGGTCAATTTAAGTATAGTGAATGTGGATAAGGAAAGTAAAAATTGTGTAAGGGTGATATTATGTTATAAATAACATGTAAAATTATTATTTAATAATAAAATATTATATAGAAGGATGTTATTTAAATAGAAGGTGATATATCACTGTTATTATTGAAAAAAATAATTATGATTTTGAATTCGGCAAGTTTTGAAGTAGGTTGACTTCAATAATTTGGATTGTTGGTGGGTCTAATTCAAATTAATTTTATTTTTCTAAATATGTATATTTTTTATGTTACACATCTAAGTATTTTCTTAGAGTTAAATTACATTTCAGTTGAATAATTAAATAATAATTATAGATAAAATATTTTTTAACATAAGTCTACCTAACACGAGAAACACTGGCATCATATACATAAATAAACTTACACCATACAAGAAACTTGCATTTCATAAAATAAAATAAAAAACTAATTAATTAAATTCCACTACCCCCCTTATTTGAGATTTTTATTTTTTTTTTATAGGTGACATATTGACTTTTCAACATCTCCGTTTCTTGGAAGTCACGAACTTCAGCTGTTAATTACATTTCAGTTGAGTAATTAAATAATAATTATAGATAAAAAAAATTAAATTAATTACATTTCAGTTGAATAATTAAATAATAATTATAGATAAAATATTTTTTAACATAAGTCTACCTAACGCGAGAAACACTGGCATCATATACATAAATAAACTTACACCATACAAGAAACTTGCATTTCATAAAATAAAATAAAAAACTAATTAATTAAATTCCACTACCCCCCCTTATTTGAGATTTTTATTTTTTTTTATAGGTGACATATTGACTTTTCAACATCTCCGTTTCTTGGAAGTCACGAACTTCAACTGCAGACAGGAAAGGAAACATACCATAATAAAATTATTATCTAATAATAAGATATCACGGTCTTATTTCAATGTAATTATTTTATTTAACACACGATATATTATATTTTTATGATAGAATATAATTATATAGTGATATAATGTGTTAATATTATTGTACTAAATTTTTTTTGCAAGTTAATCGGGTTTTGAAATAGATTCATTTTAATTATTTAAATTGTCCATTTTAAAGTAGATTTATTTTAAATTAATTTTATTTTCACAAGTATATGTTATATATGTATCCATCTAATGTGTTTTTTTAGGTATAATTGTATTTTTAGACGAAAATTACATTATAAATGAAATCTTTCAGTGTAAGTTTGATCCATAGAAATAGATTTACATCATATAGAGAGAAAACTTGCATTTCATAAAAATAATAATAAAAAAAGTCAATTAATTAATTACTTAATTCCACTGTCCCACTTGGATTTTTATTTTTCAGGTGACGTATTGACTGTTAAATAGTTTTCTCTCGTTGTCTCTCTTTCTTGCAGAACCAAGAGACCTTGTTGTGAACTAGGTTGTTTTGGTATTTGGGTGAGACTTTTTCCTGAGTGTTTTCCAAAGTCGAATCATTCATATTATAAAATTTATTAAGGAGATTATTTATGTAAAAAATTAAATTAATTAAATATTTATAGCTCTAGAATAAAAGTATATTTATATTTTTAAAAATAAACGGTTAACATAATTTTAATAATTTTTTAAAACAATCAGAATCTGATCATGGGATATAAATTTCTGATTAATTTAATTTTTTATATAGATAATATACTTAATAAATTCTAAAATATAAATTGTTTGGATTATCAAAAAAAACACCCAAAAAAAATCCCACAAAAAAAAAAAATACAAATATAACAGCATGGTAGGATCCTTGATCTGAAAAAGATACCATTGACTTGGCACTTTCCTAGAAAGAATCACTTTGCTTCGTTAGAGTTTTTTAAAAATATTTTTAGAAAATTTTTATTTTCTTATTTTTCGTATTTTTTTTACTTTTACTGAATTTTTTTAATAATTTAAGCAATTTTTTTAATTTTTAGACATACCTAACATAAATATACCTAAAAAGTAAAAAATTTGTGAAAAAAACCTTTTAAAAATTCACTAAATACCAAAAATATAAAAAAATATACGAGAATTCAGTATATATTTTTTTATATTTTTATGTATTTATTAATTTTTTAAAATGTTTTTCTACAAATTTTTTACGTTTTAGATATATCTAAGTAAGGTACATCTAAAAAAGTAAAAAAAAAAATTAAAAACTTTTAAAAATATTCACTAAAAATAAAAAAATTCAAAAAACAAAAAACTCAATTTTAAAAAAATTTAATTCAAAAAACTCAAACCAAACACACTGATTAGCTTTTTGTAGGAGAAGTTATTCTATGCTTATGTGGCGGTCCTCAATAGTGTCTTAAATTTAACAACAATGATTCATCCCACTAAAAACATCACCACTAATAGCACTAATGCATTAAAAAAATAAAAAAAATAAAAAAAAATTACAACTCCAAGACCAAAACATCACATCATTCATGACGGGACCCACTGCCACCTAATTAGTGGGAGTACTAATTAGTGCTCCCAAGCATTTTTCTAAATTTAAATGAGAAGTGATAGAGACCCCCTCCAATTACCACCCCTACCACCCACACACACGTGGCGAATGATGATTGGAGGACAAGTGGAAAAAAAAAAAAAATCCAATCAATGAGAGAGAGAGAGAGGGTCAAAGGAGGTCTTAGACATTTTTGAATTTAAATTCTATTGGTGTATACAATTCAAAAATGTTTAAGACTCCTTTTCCCTCCTCCAATCACTACTTGTCACGTGTATGTAGGGTGGTGGGGGTGGTAATTAGAGGGGGTCTCAATCAATACTCTATACAATTAGACCAGTTTTAGAGTGGTGGAGGTGGTGATTAGAGGGGGTCTCAATCAATACTCTATACAATTAGACCAATTTTAGGCTGGTATTTGAAAGGGCAGGCTTCTTTCCCATAGGTCTATATATTGGAGAGTGATGTTGGCTCATGGAGGGCTCAAATTAGGTCCAGATTAATAATTCAAACTATTTAATATACAGAATTTTTGTCGAGTATATTATTTTTATAAAATATTATGTTAATAAGATATCAATAGTTATTTGATTAGATTATATTTGTGTCAACAGTTTATTTTAAAAATTATAATTATCGTTGATATAAATATGAAATGTAAATTAATCAAATGACTATCGATATCCAATCAATATTATTTTTTACAAAAATAATATACTCAATAAATTTTATATATTAACAATTTAAATTATCGAAATAAATCTAGAACAAAGTCCACCATGGGCTAACTATACCCGCGGTGCCCGATTACACACTAGAGAGGAACTTCTACCTATTGAAAAATTAAAATATAACAGCAATTGTCCTCACTTCTGCCTTAAATTGAACCTCGTTTGAGAACTTAATATTAAGTTTCAAAAAGAAAATAAAGAGTTACTAAAAAATTATGAATTTATTTTTAGAGGCAATTACTAATTTATATATTACTAAATTACATATATAATATATTAATGTAAATTATTAATTGCTTATATTTTCTACTGATTAATAATTCGACTTATATGAAGGTGTCAATGTCATGAAGTCAATAACGACTTGGAATAAAACTACTTCACGATCTATAGACCCAAATGAAAATCTGTTGGGAATTACAAAAATTCATTCAATACATATATTATTATATTATTAAATATTTAGCTAATGTTATGGTACATAAGTTTTTGTGGTGTTAATTATCACAAATATTATAAGTAGATCACTTTTAGTCAAAACTAAAAAAAATTATTTATAATCAAACACCACATAAGGTATAATCAAATGAGTCTAAATCTTCTCCTTGGATCTTCTCTACTTGGCTCCCTACTTAGTAGTTAGTACACGTAATGTGTGTACAATTCAAATAAATAAAAGAAAAACAAATTATTTAGTATATATTATATGCCACTTAAGTGATAAGAATTTTATTTATCAAATATTAGGTTTTAGGTTAAGAATTTTATTTATCAAATATTAGGTTTTAGGTTTAATGTTTGAGTACCACTCGTTCCCTTTATCTAACTAGGAGAGAAGAAATTTCAGGACACCAAATGAATTGTTCTCTTTATATATATTATAATTATAATAATAATAATTACGGTTGTGTGTCCACTCGATGAGTATGCTTAAAATATAAATTTTAATTTTAAATTAAAAATATATGTTAAGGGGGTGAAAGTGTTAGTCTTGTGTCCCTCTAGTAGTTATTATTATTTTTTTAAAAAATTTATTTTGGATAGGAAAATTGACACTATTCAGTGTGTTTGGTTTGAGTTTTCTGAATTAAATTTTTTGAAAATTGTGTTTTTTGATTTTCGTATTCTTTTGTTTTTAGCGAATATTTTTTTAATTTTAAACATTTTTTTTACTTTTTTAGATGGACCTTAGTTAGATATATCTAAAAAGTAAAAAAATTGTAAAAAAATATTTTAAAAAATTAATAAATACAGAAAAATACAAAAAATATACTAAATTCTTGTATTTTTGGTATTTAGTGAATTTTTAAAAGATTTTTTTTACATTTTTTTTACTTTTTAGATGTATTTATATTAGGTGTGTCTAAAAAGTAAAAAAATGTTTAAAATATTAAAAAAATTCAGTAAAAATAAAAAATACGAAAAATAAGAAAATATAATTTTTTGAAAAATATTTTTTGAAAAATGAAAACAAGCAAGTTGATTACTTTTTTGAATAGAAAAATTGACATTTGGATAGAGAATGAAATTCATGTCCACCAAGAGAAATGTTCACTTTATATGAAGGATAGAAGATAGATAGTGGGGGTTTGGGAAGGGATTTTTTTAAAAAAGTTTTTTTATTATTTTAGTAGGTTATTTTAGTTTTTGTGTTGGAAAAGATAGGATGAATTTTTATTTGAATTATT